TCCGACACGCATGCAACAGCAGAAGCAGCAATAGCAGGGCTATGAAACTTTGTTAGAAGCCGTCGTTGTTGGAGCGTTTACGACTTATTAAGTTGGATAAACGTTAACGATATGAAAATGAGTAGAAATCTTGTGTGGTTAATTAAAAGAAACACACAAGCACACGCACAGAGGACGAACAGTTGACAGACCGCGTGCCCTTCAGACAATTCGGTCTTAAGCTTGCACCCAGCCGAAAATCCCCATCTACCACTGTATGTTATGGTAATAAAATGCTGTGAAATATAGCACAAGCCGCATGAAAGTACCACGCGGGAAGTTGGCAGTGAGCAGTGAGAGAAAAACTGCAGCGATTTATGTGGCACGAGTTTCGGCTTGTTAATTGTTTTATGATGCGCCCATAAATCTGAGAGCGCTCACCTACGCAGCGAAACATACGGTAGGCTGCTCGTAAATTAGGCCAGGACACACATTACGAAAATATAGTCAAATGCGCTGTGAGCCCTCCGTTATACATCACTCAGTAATTGGCGTTCTTTCAACTTCCTAACACACTCTGCCTAGTTCCACGGTTTATCCAAGCCAATGCCCCGTATCTTTAGATTTGTACAAAATTAGAACGATCTCCGAATGATACTTCGAAATCCATCATCAATCGTCGCCCAAGCACGTAGTATTTGTATACCATTCCTTTGTATACTATTCCCTCGCCACCAGTACAGGCTTGTGAGCCACGCCCAAGACGCATATCGTCGCATGCGTTGTGGAACTGCGGGCTGTGTATCTGTCGTATATATATCTCTCACAAACACCGCCGGCAACTCGCTGCAAGCCCCGGCATGGCCGCTGTTCGTTCGGCAGCCATCAATTCCTGAGGCGGGCACGGCCGATGTAACAAGGCGGGGGGACGAACGGCAACGAGGACGTCCATGGCCACCACCGCCAACGAATGCGCCTCTATTTTTAGGGGTGGGTTTTGCAGCTATGAAACACACTTCAAAAAAAGAATGCCACAGTTTAAATAATAATATGCTGCATATAAGTTGGTTATTCTGACAGGTCTACATTTTATATAGACGTAATTTACCTCTTTTTTTTCTTATTTCTACAACAATTCAAGATTTAAACTATTTTTTAACTCACTAAAAATTAATAATAATGGTCTTGCAACCCTCTTGTATGTAACATACTGAAAAGGGTATCTGTGACCCGATAAAGTTTTTATATCAATAAAATTTATATATTAGGACGAGAGCCGATTCGAACTAACGATGTCCACTTTCTTCCGTCTGTGTGTCGATTTTCTAAACGAAAAAACTTGTAGACTTTGAATCTTAAAATATTTATTTTCTTTAGCATTCCACACCGAATTTTATTGCTAGTATTGTTTGCAATTTGTTTGCATTTTCACGACTAGTTACACAGAAAAGATATGAATATACTCATCTTTAAAGCTAGAGCCTTGCGTTTTGCTATTTGTTCGCATGAAAATCGGACAATAAACACAGATCCTAATGACAAATATATTTTCAATAATGTTAGTCCAATAGAAGAATAAGCAAACCTGCAGCGTTTGTAAAGGTAACCTGGTGGTTCAGGGAATTCATTTTCAAAGCTACATCAAATGCTTACATTAGTGTTGCTTCATTTTTTGAAGTGTATTAGTCATAAGCAGCTGTCTAATTATATTATAATATAAATTTATAGAAATTGATGATGTATGTACTACTTACCAGTAAACATATATATATATTAACTATAGAAAAATAAATTATGTCGAAATTGTGAATTTTACATTGTATAATTCATTCGATTTATTAAGTATTTTTGCATGTGCTATTTAAAGTTGCCCTATGCGACGTTTATGTGTCTATAGTTTAGTTTAGCGTTTAAAGTGTGGTATATAGTGTTGAAGCTATAAATTGGCGATTTGAGCACTGATTCTGATGGCTGCCAGAAACGCTTTCGAAATATCTGGCGTTTAATCAACGCGCACTCTTAGTAACGGTTGGAGTGTCGGGTCGAACTTTTCTCATTAAACTTTTGGCTCCACTCGTTGGCCCCAAAATATCTACGGCAAAAGTTTATTTTTTATTTTTAATGTACTGGTGTCGGGCATTAGGGGGTGGACTTGGGTAGGCTAAGCATCACCATCTATCTGAACTATGTGCCTGAAAGTATCTTTCAGCGGTCGTTGTCGTTGGTTTCTTTTTGTTAAACGATCGGGTTTTGGGTTTTGTTGTGGTTGTACGTAGTACTTTGTTGTTATGACATCGTGTTGGGCTGTGTGTATACACTTTTCCAATGTCAAAGTTTAGTAAAAATACAAAGGCGAGAAAAAATAATTGTTAAGTAAATTTGTTATTGTTAATATTGATTCAATAATGATTAAAGAATTATAAAATATTTTTGTTAACATACAATTTAGAAGTTATTCAAATAGTATGTAAGTAAACCAACTTTTCTTTTATTTGTAGCGCTTTTTGTAAACAAACATTAATTTTTCTTCTGAAGAGCAACATAAATCTTCGGTGTTCGCTGCAAATTTTCATTTTCTTTTTTATTTTACATTTGACTTGTGGTTTTTTAGGGCTTAGAGCCGCTGTGTGTGGTTCTTGAAATTGAAATCTTTTATAAAAGTTTTTTCTTGTTTCTGAAATTTTGATGAGCATTGTTATCAAAATAACTTTTTTGATGTCTGTCGTTGGGGCCCAACACATTTTTGTTTTCAGATTACCTTTTGCTGTTGTCCATAGCGTCAAAGAAAAGTTCAATTTGCGCCTCAGCACACGCCGAGTGGCAATATTATTCTGACTAAATGAGATTACCTGCCGGCAGTAAATTGCTGTGGACTTCATTTTTGGCTTCGCACCTATGCCACTTCCACACTGCGCTCTGCCCGGCTCGCCGTTGGCTTAAATATTTTCAGCTTTACACTGTCTGGCAAAATATTTCAATTAAGTTCGCCTTCTCCCTGGCCGTTTTGCCGTCTCTGGGGTATGAACCCTGTGCCAAATTTGGCCACGTCGCAGCCTCATCGAATTTTTATGCTAGGACTTGTGACTTTGATTCGAAAATGGTCGGTCTTCTGCTGCACATCGCATCTAATCTTGCATCTAATAAGCATTTTCAATCAACTTTTATGCTTGCGCTGTAAAACGTAATCGACCTAAGCGTACCTCCTCTTTCCTGCACTCTTATTTTTGCCTGTCTAGCTAAGAAGCAAAACCCATGCATACATCGCACAATAACTTAATCCGTAAATTTTATTCTTTTAAAATCCGTAAAACCGTTTACAGGATTTCACGTGCGCCAGGGCGCCATAAATTTAAGCCCAAGCCAGCCCCCACACTCACGTGAGTAACTCAAATTTCGCACACAAGTGAGTACCGAGCTCTTCAAATTCAAGTAGGAGTTCGAGGGCGAGAAATACCATAAGCGTGTATGGCTTTGGATAGCCAATGCTCCTGGCAATCTACAATGCCGATGCGAGTGCGCTGCACGGGTACGGCTTTTGTTTCGCCCAATCAATGGGCGTGCATATTGAGTGGAATCCACATAACTATATACACCAGGTTACAGTGGGGCTTGTCTTATAAACGTCTCTGAAATGCCTTAGTTAATACATGATTAATATAAAAAAGACATGGATTTTACTATTAGGAGAGAATACGAGCAATATTTAATATTTCTTGATAATCGCTTGGTATGAATACTTTTTTGTTTTTTACACACAATCTGCGATAACAATTTAAAAAACATTGAAATAAAACAGTTCTTTATTTTCAAAATATTTGAAATATACTATAAGTCCAACAGTCGGGCATTTCTTTACCTGGTTTTTTAATTATCCTTCACAAACATTTTTTTACATTAATTCTCCTATATATTTTTATGTGAGTCTACAGAGTTGTGCGTTTTTTTTCCCCCCTTTTTATATTTTGCTCCAAAGGTTGTCTTGTTTTCCCACTGTACGTTGCAATTTCAAATTTATTGAATTACCATTCGTAGCCACAAATTTACTGCAGGAATAACTTGAGCAACTAGCAGGGAGCTCGGGCTCCTGATTTGGCCGATATACCGCGTCCTTTTGGCCAACGGAGCTGCGTCAACAAAATCCAAAACAGCCCATTCGTCGAGGGCGAGTACTTACGAGAATATTTTTTTTTAAATCGCCTGCCATTTTGTTACTTTTTATCCCTTTCACGTATTTGATGCGTTTCATTTGATTATTTGCCTGCGTGCTGGGAGCGAGCTGAATACCAAAAACAAAAACCCATTTCATGCCAAGCAACCACAAGTGGCTTCAGGCCAACAGGCAGACAGGCAACCAACAGGCAGCCTGGCAGCCACTTGAGATTGCAGCTCCACTCTGATCCGTGTTTCACTTCGTTGCTCATAATAACACGCTTTGATAACTTTCATGGCTCATAGCCGGCCGCCTATTGCACGCTCCTGATCCCAATCCCCGTTCCTTTCCTTCTCGCTCATTTTCATTCCCATGGCCACCAGCATCTAACAGGGGCGTTGACTTCATCAATCTGTGTCCCCTCGACAGATTGGCTTCGTTAAACTTTATTTTGAATTTATACTCGTATTTTGTGCTCAGCTCCAATTTCAAATTCTAGGCGGCACTCAAGACATGTATTACCCCGGCCCTGGCCTGGCGTATCCTTTCGCTCATTGCCTGCCTATATTCATTTTGCTTGGTTAATGGACATGAAAATTAAACTCCCACTTTTCAAACTTCTATACTTCGCCATTGTGTTTGAGAATCTTCTACGGCTTTTACGATTAAACTCCACTGTAATGGAGGAAAGCGATTTAAGAGACTCCATTTGTTTGGAAAATAATATTTATTCATTTGCAGCTGTGCAGAAATATGCGAGCAGACAAATGCAAATTTCACTCAGAGGGCGGTCGATGAAAGTGTGCCCCATACCCAGAAGCTAAGAACTAATAGACCGCACAATTCGCATACACACACACACACACACACATGCGCTTATGCGAATATATATTGAGGTATACACAATTACCATATAATCGGATATTTATTGGCACTGCATGCGACAATTGTCCGTCCCGTCGGCCCGCCGCAGCCATCGCTTAGCTCGGCTGCCTCAGTTGCGGTTTATGGCCGCGCTTTTGCGATTTTTATGGTTTTATAATGTACGCCGCTGATTATCGTGCATGATATGCGAATTAAAATTTTACAATTTGCCAAATGCAAATACGCACTCACATTGGCACAAATACAGATACAGGGCTCGGAGACACAGCTCTCATCATTGGTTCACCCGAACCTGTCGCCTTAATGCTATTGCCATCCATTTTAATGAGGCAGTCGACGTAGCATCGAGCAATCCTAAACGAATTTCAATAATGATTCAATTTTAATTTGGTTGCTTGACTGTATTGGCCAGGTCGACTGCGTTAACTGGCTCGGCTGGCCTAGTCTTAATGGAGGTTTAATGCAATCGTGAAAACGATTGCCGCTAAGCGCTCTATTACGAAGGCAGTCGGCCTTAAATGGTTGCGATTCGGCTGGTTCAAGAGACGTACTTATTGACCTTAGTGGCCAATACTCGGCGCGCATATCAAATGGCTGGAGCTGGGCTTAGTTAAAGCAATGCGGTTCAAGAGTTACATAACGAAGCTCATAAGACGCTGATGCCTCCGCTTCTTTAAGCACTACGCGAGATGAGTTTATTATTATCGTTTATTTGATATCAAGTCTTCAGCACAAAACTTATTGAAAATGGGTAAAATATTGTATAATCATTTTATCTAAATATATTTAACTACCAGGAGGAGGTTTCGCTGCTCCCGTAAAATATATATTCCATCATATATATTTTTGCCGGGTCAATCTCTCCGTCTCTCTCCGTTTAACCGTCTGTCTCATCGTGTGGGTCTCGGAAATTACAATAGCTAAAACCTTTATATTTTATATATAATTTGAAATATATCTCTGTACGTACAACCGTTAGTCCTTATATTTGAAAACACCAACTGCAATTACGTAAATTTTAAGTAAATTTTGAAACTTTTTTGATGAAAGTGTTGTATTTATTGTTGCAACAGCTAAGGCCCAGGGTCTAATCGATGGTATATAATATTTGTTTTGCAACGAAAATAATATATTTGCACATGATTTTTAAAGCATAATTAAAAAAAAAAACAAATTAGAGTAGCTAGATAAGATTTGTTTCTCCCTTAAAATTGAATGAAACTCACACAAACTTACACTAAACATATTTGGGGTATTTGTCGCAATGTGTCAAAAAAATGAATTAGGCCGAACGATTCGTTCATCAGCTGTGGCTTTTGGTCTCCATGACGCCATTTGACACAACACGACTCTTGGTTTCAGATTCCTTGAGACAAAGGAAACTTTACAACGCTTGATGGTCGCGCCTGACAGTAGCACATCTGATTGTAATATTGTGTTATGTTTGTGCATAAAGAAGAGCTGCGGATGGATTCGGGAGAAATCAATTCCATATTCAGCGCACAGCGCAAAATTTCAATATGTGGGATTTCTTGCTGTTTTCAATTTACAGCGTTCAACATCAAACAGGAAACGTGTTTCGTGCGTTTTATTTATGAAAAACAGAACCCAAAATGTTATGGATGCATAAAGTAAGAAATTGCTCCAGCCTAGATAAAACATGTGGGGTGAGCAACACACATACACACACACGCACACACACACACACACACAAATAAAGAATCAAAATATATATACTAAGTATATACATAAATAAATTTTGAGTTTTGGCCCTCGACTTTTTGCGCAGTTCTCAGGGCTGCGAAAAACATTGAAATATATTCTTGCAATGGCTCACCCACAGGTCCCTGTGAATAAACAAATGGCGGAGCATAAAAAAAATGTATGAGAAAATCGAAAGAATAAGCTCTGGCAGAGCTGTATATATATGTTATTGTTATTGCCCATGCGACATGCATAAGAAGTAAGCAGAAATGAAACTGCAAAGTGCTCGCATATTTATAAACTTGCAATTCGTATGACGAATCTGTTTCTCTATCTCGCTTTCCCGCTCTCCTGCGTATTGTTCTGTCTGGTCACACATGTACATTGCGAGGAGTAGAAAATTCCAATTTAATATTTTAAATTTGTTTCATTTCAATTGTGATGTTGTGTATTACTGAACCAGGAGATGTCCTCTGCTCAGTATCTGCTCATATATACACAAAATCAAACATAAATATGTATTAAACACACGTCTCTAGTTGTGCGCACTTCGTATCTTTATTCTTCATCCTCAACAACACAATAGTATAGAATATAATATATATACTTTATGTGGTTGGAGATGCTTCCTTCTGCCTGTTGCATACATTTGCACAGGTTTATTATACCCCTTTTACCCATTTTATTCTAAATCATCCGTGTTCAATCAACTCTGCTCTACAAGTGACTCTTTCGCCCTTTTTCTCAAAACAGTGTCCAGCTAGTGATGAGTAAAATGCTTATTAGCAGCAATTGTCAATTGGTTATTTCACTAAATGAAAATAAAAAAAAAAAACAACTTAGAAATGAATATTGATTGAAAAATCATTTTGTGGTTACATATATATTGACAGCTCCAAACGTGGCATAAAAGCGTTTTGTATTTTGGCACCACTTGCATTTTCAACATAATTAATTTGAGCTAGGCGACGCCGGGCAATTTCTTCCATTTATATTTTGTTAAATCGATTCGGATATTGATGCTACCAAGAATAATATACTTTATGCGGACCGAGATGTGCACAAGGCAATATGTAAGGTGCTTTATTTAAAATTAACTGTTTACATTTTTTATTAAAATTATAATAAATTTCAAAGTAATATTAGCGTCGCTTGGGAGAAATAATGATCCCAAAAATAGTGCAGTTAGCAGAATTATCGCAGAAAAAAGGCAAAAATTTGTGATATGGTGTTAAGAATCAAACGGGAAGGGTCGCAAATAGCGACAATAATATATCCCATAGGGGGGTTGAGATCGGGATGCTAGTAGTAGAAGAGGCACAAGTACTTGGAAACTGCTGTTGCTTATGCTGCCTATTGGCAGCCACGTCCAAAAGCGCCACCTCACGCCATTGCCCACGCCAACGGCAATGCTAACATCAACGCCATCGTGTCTTTCTGGTCGTTGGCAAATGTTGGAAAAACAAATTTTTATACTTGTTTTTGCCAGGGTTTATATTTGTGTTTTATTTTTCACAGCGCTGCAAAATATGCGACTGTGTGTGGGATGTCGTTGTCGCATGGTGGCCGGGCCAAAGAGGGCTGGCGCGGTGGCGGGGATTGATAGTGTAGCTGTCGCTACCATGCCCTGAGATATTCCGAGATATTAGTCATAAAACGAGCACAAAAATATATAAATTCGTTTGAGCATGCAGCCCCGCAGCTCCCACTCAACCATCCCATCACTCTACGCCATCCCATCACTCACCTCAGTTTCAGAGCTAAGAAGATGGCGGCCAGGTCGTGCCGTTTTTATACGAGCTACTACGTCCACGTTCATGAAACGGGAAACCTAATTTTCTAGGGTAATCCTTGGCAGCATAAGACCAATGCTCACTTTACTGTGGGGAAGTGGGCTTGGTCTGCCCACCTGCAAACATAAATTATGCAGATCCTGCATACGTGCTTAGATGTAATTTTTCCCAACGTCGTGCGCCCATAAAGGTTATACACACACACACACGCGCACACACATGTTTGTAAGGATGAGGAATATACTCAAAAAGAAGCACACACAGAAATACATACGTATATGATTGCTTGTGACTACGTGTAACATGTAAAATGGTTTCAAAAAAAGTTTGCCAAATATATCTACTTGATTACACACATACATATGTTTACGTACAAATATTCGTATATGCTGCTCAGCTGGAGTAGAACTAACAGGCAGCTGCATAAAAGTTTTTGTCTGAAATTGCGAAAAAGCCAGCCAACCGAGATCCAAATCCTGTCAGCTAGTCTTGTAGTCCTGCAGCAGTCCGGCAATCCTCGCCTCGTTTATGTACGATGTCAGCCAGCGTGGCCAGCATTTGGCTTATCCTTGATGAAACTAATCCCAACTTCGCCATTTTTATATGCATGTACTTCTGTGTGCAGCACACAAAAACTTTTGGCCAATCTTTTTACGACTTCATTTGCCAGTTGGCTGTTGGCAGTTGCCAGTTGGCAGTTGGTGGTTGACAGCGCTGGGAGGTGGATGAACAAGAGCAGCACGAAAAGTAATAAGTCACCGAGTCACGACAATGCCACGTTCTTAAGCCACCTCCCCACTCCCTCCATACGTTCTTTTATTACCTCCCTATCTTTGCATTCGATATTTTTGTAAATTTTAGCTTGCACTATGCAACAGCCTATTTTGAATTAACGTCAAATTTATACTTATGCAACAGTTTTAACTGATAGACTCACTTAGATAATAAATAAATTTAGATAAAAATGTTCAATTTTCAAAAAAAATACATATTTTGATTTTTACACGTACAAAAATGAGTGTCCTTCGCTTACGTAAATATTTCTAGGTTCCTTATTGTTCATTTTGGTATGTTGCACGGTGTTGTATAGCGTTTGATGCAGCTGAAAATGATTTCATTCGGACCCCACCTTAATTAAACTAAACTTTTTTATATGCGCTTAGCCAACTGGCGCCTCTTGCCTAGCCCTAGCCAGCTACAGCTCCTGCCATTCTTGCAATTTCGCGCTGGTTGCATTTCATGTTTTGTAGCCGTGGCGTTTAAGGCGGCGACGAGGGGAAGCTGTCGTAAAAAGCAAAGATCGCTGTCCGCGCTGCTGGAGCCAAACGAAATTTCGCTGCGTTTCGCGTTATTGGGCAGAGCCATTCCGAGTGCCAAGAAACCATAGCGAAATACCAGCAAAAAAACAAACGGAGAAGGCACAAAAGAACGTAGACTCCACTGTAAGAAATGGTAGTAAAAAGGAAAGAAAAACACCAAACGTATAATATTTTCAAGTTTGGCTACTGTTTGCGTAAAGAGCAATTAACAAAATGTGAATCAATGAAAGAATTTCTAAAAAAATTAGCAGTGGATATTGACTTGATAATCTTCATCACCAACCACAGAAATAAGGAATACAGAGCAAAACTTTTCACTAAAAATACCTACACTGACTAAAGAAAAAGCGTGGACTTTCTAATTACTGATTTAATTGTCAGTGAATTTTGTGAATATACAAAACGAGTCGGCTGAAAAACTTTCGGGTGAGAGAAACACTTTAGAGCACTTTAATTGATGCCTTTTGGGCTCTTATCTTATGTCGCGTGAGCAGGATAAATGCATTTGTCTCTGTGTATTTGCATGTGTGGGTATTTGCCTGGGCACTCGTATCGTAAACTTTCTTATGAGTTTCTAGTTTTGTGCTGAACATCAAGAACCCTTAGAGATGAGTTTCAGTGCACGTTAAGCCAACAGAAAGTTCAAAACTATTTGAATCTCTACGCCGACCCTGCAATAAAACAAACGCCCATAAAAGAAGAAACCGACCAAATTATTCAAGTAAGTGTGCCAGATAAATAAGCTGAAAGGACAAACGGGCCGATAGTCAGGCCATAATTAATCGGTCTACATCGGCCTGTTCTCCTGCTTTTGGTTGGTTTTCACGTCAATCGAATGTGTATTTGCATAAATTGAAAAAAAAAGAATATAAGAAAAGCGTGGAAACGTATTGCTAAGAAATTCAGCTGGGAATGCCAAGAAAACAATTCCGCTTTCTAATTGAACCTTCACTGGGCTGGTCGCAGGGTGTTTGTGGATGTGGCTGTCATAAAACGTACCTCGATGTTGTTATTGGCTTCATCGTTCAAACAAAACTGCCGGCTCCCCTTTTCAGCGCTGTGTGCAGTCAATAAATTGAAACGAATTCAATTGGCAGCGGAATGTTTACAAGCGGACGGAGAAGACCAAGCCAGAGACAAACAAATAAACAGGCGGACAAGCAAGCACACACCATCGGACAGAAGACATTGAATCGAGAACATGCCATTGACAAACTGAAAATAAACAAATTCATAAGTCTTGGCATCCATCCATCAACCCTGGCAGCCTTCGACTCCACTTGCCAGACATCGTTCAGCCTGGCCAGCAACCTCTTCAGTTATCAATGGTCATTGGCGCTCTGTCCCATTTACATCCACAACCATATCCTCGGTATCCGGCCTTTGTAGAGACAGGCCTACATAGTACTTATATCGATGGATGTGCCCTCGCAAATGTCATTGGTATAATAAGCTGTTTGTTTTAATGGCGCTTGTTTCTGGGCGCACTCTTGCCGTTTTGGCGCACAAACAAAAATAATGACACAGCTCCGAGCGAGCTCTTTACCGGGCCGACTCTTGGGCGGACAGCTGGATGGTCGGACAAAACACAGAAAACAACATGCCATCATAACAACGACTTCATAAATTCGGCTTGCGTATTTATTTATAATAATTTATTTCAATAACAACGCCAGCCATCTTTCTCCATCTGTAGCTTCAACCCTAGCCGCAGTCCCCGCTTAGCTCCAGTCCCCTCATTTCCAAGCAGCCGAGCATTCAGTCTCGTGGCCGTTGTTTCTTTTCCTCACTTCAAATGACATTTCAAATATTTGTACAGTTTTCGTTGTCGTTGGGGGACTGCATAAATAGTCGAATATCAATTTATGCCTTTCTTAAATGGGAAAATTTGAGATTCGACTATTTGGGGTCCGGCCTAGTTTAACACTTTTGTAGGAAATATCTTTTTTATACCCTGTACCGATTAAAATTGGGTAAAGATGGGTATACTATTTTTATGTTACCAAAAACTCGAGTGTCCTCTTATACCATATCTTAGAGATTAAAGAAACACCAAACTCCGTATGTTATTTTTATAATTATATTTTATTTTATTTTTATTTTCCGAGATTCATCTTGGAAATCTGCACTTTGCTTTATGCGAGAGCGTATTTCCCATATTTTGGGTTGGAGTGTAAAGTGCGCTGCGTTTTCCATCTGTATGAGGGTATAATTGTTTTGTTCAAAAGTATTACAAGGATCAGCTGCTCGTCTTTCTATCTTATGGGCTCGGGATCCATAGTAGAGATAAAATATAACCGCATTTCAATCAGTATCAATAGTTATCGACTTAAAGACATGGTCATGGACATGGAATACTTCAGTTATTGGATGTTTCACCCCAACCATCGGCAAGTATACTTGTGTATATGTTTTGTGTGTATATGTGTAGAGGACCGCTGAGTCCAGTGTATCTACTAATCGAGCATTCTTATTTGCCTTTCTCGTTCTATATGCACTATGTATCAAAGTAGGAACGAATGTATGTTAAGATTACAAGGTATCTCCTAGTCAAATACCCCCGACTAAGGCACTGCTTCTTGCTTTCATATTATGTGAAAGTGTTTTGCTGACTTTGTTGGACCCTCATGCATACTTCTATACATAGTAACGGCATTTAAAAAGAAAACTTCTAAGTGATTCTTAAAAGCTGAGGCGCCATTATGTTAATAGCATATAAAAGAAATTTAGGCTGGAGAGACCCCGTGAAAACACAATACAAAATGCACAATCTGGTCTATCGTCAGATAAATGAACTTATAAGCTATAGAAAACTGCTAAGCTGGCAATTCTATCATCCATACCCATTGTCAATCGAGTACCTATTAGAACACCTATAAATCTAAGTGTAGTTCTGTTTTTTATATTTCCTATTTATACTAATATTTTAACCAGAAAGACTCATTATGTTTGCGACCCATTTGAATAATTAAGATGGATGGGCATACCCCAAAATATTAAGATTGAACGCAAGAATATATTCAACATAGCGAAGTAAACTCAACAAAGTAGTCTTTATGGCAAACTTTTAATCAGTTCTCATGGTTCCGTCCTAAAATAAACCTTTCAAGCCTTTTCTTAGCTCCAAGCCACGCAACTTTTCTTAACGCCAAATAAAAATTCTTGCAGAACAGTTTTCCCCCCTCCTGGATTTTTTTATTCAAACTTTACGCCACTCCGTGTTTTTGTGCAAGTCATTTACAGAATAGAATTCTTGATTAAATTGGAGTACATTTCGTGTTTCTCCCTCAGCAATGGCGGCTTACGAGCAGCTACACCAGCTCCCAACCTCTCATTTACCTAGCTCGTTGGCTGTTCAGGTGGGCGGGTCCCGATTTCAGCATATAAAACAGACCGAAGCATAGCGAGCGGAGCGTGGTGTGCGGACTGCTTTTTTAAAGAATATTTGCTGCATATTCAAGCGGCTGTCGGGCGCTCCTCGACTCACTAAACTCAACGTCAACGAAAAATACAGGACCAAAAACTCTCGTACCTGAGTTTGTTGAAACATGCGAAACTTATTTTGCAACTTTTATGTCCACGAGCAGCAGGTTTTATTTTTTCCCTGGCACATTTTCCTTTTTTTTTTCAGTTCTTCACATTTTGCTCTTTGGCTCAAATTACAATTGCACTGAGCGAAAATGTGGAAGCCTTCAGAAGGCTTAAAACTAGGATTTTTTTTTTCGATGTTGAATCAACTTTTACAGTATTATAATTTGGATCTCAAGCGCATTGCTTTTTAATTTTTAAGTCATCGGAGTTGAAACTGAATTGATTTAGCTGACTAGCTGCCAGTTTCTTTGAGTGCAAAGCCTGCATAAAATCACCAGTAAGAAAACTTAGAAAGCCCTTGGTCTTGGAGCAGAAGAGGAATCCAGAACCCTGACATATCCACGCCTTTGGCTTGAGTTTGGGGCTGCGTTGCATGGCAAGATGCCATCGCTATTCAGCTGACTAGCATCCGACAGAAACAGAAACAGAAACGTGAATCTCGATGGGGATGGGGCGATGGCAAGCCAAGCATAAAATGGTATTTCTAACAATCCTTGGAGCATGTAACAGGCGTGGCGAGAATGCTGCCCGTGTCACAGCCATTGGATGCGGCTGGCTTAATTTATCCCCTTTCCTGGATTAGAAGGGCCGAAGTCGAAGGCGATTTTAAATCATCATCAACTAACATCGATACACGACTATAATTCAGCTGAGTTATATAAAGAAATATAGATGCATTAAGAGATACAGCATCAGAGTTGCAGACACAGATACGATGTCACCTCCTTAAAACGAGCACACAAAGATAATGAGTACAGCTAAAAACCCGAAAAGCAACAGCATAAAAAGGACGCACGAACACATGCGGCTGTCTAATGGCTTGTTTTGTTTGTGTCGCTGAGCGAGTTACGCGGCTGGAAGGCTGTGCACCAAATACTCAGCGGGAATGGCCTCGAGACGGGCTGCAAACAGGCAGCCGCAGCGGCACAAAGGCCGTTTGTTCTGGTCTTTAATAGTTTTATTGACCGAGCCATGGAATCCTTTCAGTATTAGAGGTCGCTCCAGTTATGGATGTGCGCATGAAATATTAAATTTGAATCTCACAATCACTCGAAGGTCACTTGCCAGCACTACATTTTATCAGACTGCTCTCGTTTTCATGTGAAACGCGCCAGTGTTGCCCCTTTTCATTGTTGTCCTGCTTTTTACAGTCCACATGACTGACGATTATGAAAGCCTTGAGAGCAATAATAAATATAATTACCGTTGCAATCAACAATTGAGAACTGACACCCTTACACTTTCTAGTTAACAATTCACAGCACAGCAATGAAATCCGAACTCTGCTGCTCCGAATATGTTGTCCTTGCCCAAATTGCCCAGATTGGCTTGCATCAGAAATCTTTTTGTTTTTGTATAGTCCAAACAGCCTACGCATATTTATGCTGAACATGCTTGAACTCCGAACTCATCATCATAAAACAAGGCAGTGACACTCACGAAATAAGGCACGACAGAACTTTGAAAGGGATTGAGCAGCGATATTTGTGCCCAACTAAATTAGTGGAATTCAACACGACCTTACCCCATCTACCAATGCGGGGCACCGATAATACATAGCAATGAAGTAGAAAATGCCGAAAAGCTCCAAGGCATCTCACTCTAGGTATCATTTCCTGATGCTTGGAGAGATGGTGTCGCAAATCCGCGGGAGGGGTGGACTATCACATTGACATGCGAAGATGGGCTCGGATTAATGGCTAGCAACTGAAATGCCAACGAAACGGAAAACTAATTCCGTCGTTTGTGACTTAAATAGCGGGCGCGTATCATCAGAAGCTGGAGGTGACCCCAACAAAAGTTGTTCACAGTGGGTACAGTTGGATATGCATTTCACGGAAAATACGCAGACGATTCATTCAAAATATAATATCCCTTAAATAATTATAAATCGCAACTCAATAAAATATTTCCCTTTTCAGTTCGACAATTTAATATAAGCCCTTGTGCAAAAGAAAAATATATTTCTAGGGTATATATTAAGTATCTGTTAATGCCAAAACCCATTAAATTTGATTTAGTATTTTAAGACAAGCACTGGGTCTGGGTAAGGCCGATAAGTTTTATAAATGTGACTCTTGTACCACAGTGCCAGCTTCTTGATTGTGGGCACGTTTTTCCTACTGGGCCGAACATTGGCAGCTTAGATAAACGATTTCTAATAAAATACGGCATTGCCCGTCCGCCTGAAATACTTTCCTCCTGCCTTGGCATGAGCTATGTTTGGGTTCCTGCAAATCTTCCCGAGTCGATGACGGCTCCCGTTACCAGTATTTTTGGGCGGCAGCGGAGCTGCGATGTTATCAGGTTCAATTGTTGCTGCCGCTTCGACTCCTGGTCTTGGTGTCAGTGGGGCATGACTTGCTATGTTGTCGCATAGAGGATGGCGATGATGGCGCTCGATGGGGCAATAAATTGCATTAAAATGCGCAACGCACAAACGCACGCCCCCTATTCCCCTCACACGGGACTTACTTCTAATGCTCCCAGCCGGATACAGAACCTTGCCTGCCTCGACTTTGCCTAAGCGACGGCACTTATTTGTAGCCGCTTCTCGCTGCGCGTCTATGTTTGCCAACGGTGTGTTTGTCATGGGAAGGCGGGGGCTCTGGGGATGCGGCTCTTTTGTAGGTGTTTCCAAGGCAAGCGGTATTTTATTTATTTTTATTGGCAAATGTCAACGAGGCGTTTGCTTCTTTGTTTGTCAGCATCAAAAGCACGGACATATACCAGGCATTGAGATTGTTTTTGGGATTTTGTTAGTATGTCAAATCTTATTAGGACTGGAAGTTTTCATAAGTTCTTTCGCTTATAGCCTACATGTTTCATGTTTATTTAAAGAATATTTTTAGTTACACATTAGCGATTTCAGAATTCCAGAAGTCATTATTTTTTACGGATTTAAGCACTTCCGCTTTGAGGATAAAACGTGCATATGATATAATTGTATAGAAATCTCTCTCGCCTCATAAATCGACAAAAAATAAACCCAATCTCAATCTTAAAAATGGTATCACAAAATTTAGGTGATTATTATTTATAAACTCAAGGATCTAACAAAATAAGTTGTGCTGCCCCCTGAAAAAATGTATGAGCCCATAGCTTTAGAGTCACAGCTCTCTATTCCAACTTGATTTCAATATGAAAATAGCGAATTTTATGAAAGAAAATTAATATTGGATAAGAATCCCAATCGTGGCGTACTCAAATAGCGACTATCGTGCTTACTTTAATTCCTTTCACATAATCTACTTGACACATTCTTCAACTGCACTTGATTCCAGGGAAGTTTTGCCATATAAAAACATAATATAAATAACATTGTAGATTTTTGCAAAAATAGGTAATTTTCCATTATTGATTTAAATATGACTATTTGTGGTCTGGAGCATTTCTAGACATAATATTAGCGCTCACAGCAAGTAAATAATTGAATTGTTGTTATATCAGATTTTATAACACAAATTCGCTTAATATTCCACCGTTT